TAAGTATAGAAGTAGTGATTAATGGGTAAAGAAGCAATTCTTAGTGGGTTTTCATTTGTTTGGTTAGAAGGGTGTTTGGATGCTGAGAAAATGTTCTCTATTTGAACATAGTAAAATGTTATGTCCATGTCATTACTTTTTTAAATTTTATGCTCCATATCATCAAAAAAAATATAAAAAATGTCACATGTGCAAAGTTAACGGCCGAAATTAACAGAAGGACTAACAGTGTACATTTGTTAGAGTTGAGGGATTAAAAAAGCGCAAAAAATTGTTAAAGGATAAAAAATGTGCATTTTTTAAAATTGAGGGATCAAATTTAGCATTTAACCTAAATTGTACCACATTACATGCATCCCTTAAAGTCAAAAAAGTAAAGTGTATGTATATATAATAATATATATTATAAAATATTATATAAAATAAATGATAAATATTATATAAAGTAAATAACAAATATGCGCCTGTTCCTTCGAGTCAATTGATACATTGTCAGCTTGAGATACATTCTTCTTTTTCTCTGGGCAGGTTTCGAACCCGTCATTGACAAATTGTTCAAAAAAATAATAATAATAAATATATTATTAAAAAATACCTAATTATAAATATAACACCAACATCCATACGCGTTGTACAGTAAGATCGGTCGTCTCCCCCTGGTCACTATCCATGTGTTGCACTCAATGACTAATCTTTTCCAAGGGTACCATTTAGTGGAATCGGAAAAGTAATGTCAGATGAAATTTCTTTTCTTTTGATTGCAGTTAAACTTTTAGAGTTGATTCAGGTCTTTCTTTGGAAGTATCAATGAAAGAACATGGCACAAAGCAAGGTCTTTAATTCTTTGTTATTGTAATGACAATTTCTTTCCATTGTAGAAATTAAGATTGATTAGGACCTTTAGAGTTGATTCAGTCTTTGTTTGGAATCAAAAACTTTATATCCACGAATGAAGCGAACACCCCGCAAGTGAGGGTTTTAATTTTTCCCCTTAGAAAGTAATCATGAAGTTGCCTAGCATATAAAATTATAAATCTTTGTATATAGTCATTCGTGACTTTTCTTTTAAGGGACCAAAGACAATGACAAAAGACAATAAAATTTCAATAATTTTTTAAAAAATAATTGATATATATATTTTGATTTGATATATTTTTTTGTATTTATTTATTTATTTTATTTATTAAAATATAATATAAATACAATTAATTCTTACATATAATATAAGTACAGTTATTT